CTACCTTCACTAGAAAAGGGAAGGGCTGGCAAAATCTTTCTCTTCTGCTTGCTGCAGCTGACATGGCTGGCAAACAACGTAAGGCTGCAAAAAAACATTTGAGGTGAGCCACCAGGTAAAAGGACTTCAGGGGTGCTTGCCCATGCCAAGCCATGGGGACACTTCCTTCTGCAGGATTCTTTTTGAAGACACGGAGGAGAGGATTGTCAGATTAGCAAGTGAAAAATGGCCTGTGCAAGGCAGTTGTGTGCCCACTGATTGCCTTTGTGATGCTTGACAGAGCACAAGTAATTTCTGACAGGAAGGCCTGCCTCAGCTGCTGTCCATCTTGGTTTTCTTTTTGCATCTCTCTCTCTGAAGTTTTAGCCAGTAAGACTCTGTCCTCAAGCAGAATATACCTCTTCTCTGCTGGGACCTTCCTCTGACAGAGAGCTCAGTGACTATTTGGTTGAATTATTTGTTGAGTGATTATTTGCAGGCCAGGAAGTTAAACTAAGAACAACTCTGGATTGCTTGTGATGGTCTTTAAAAGACATTCTCAGTCAGAGTTTTTATTACGAGGAAAAGTGAGGAGAAGGGAGGGTTTGCTTAGAGAATGAGCTGGTTATACAGGATTTCCTGCCCACTCCAAATGCCTGCCAGTAGTAGTTGTGATGTAAACAGGAAAAAAAAAAAGAAATTAGTTGGTGTCAAAAACTGACAGAAGCAATAGTCATGTTACTAGGGAAATGTATGTGTTGTTAAAACATGAGAAAAATTGGAAATTATAAAGAAGAAAATCAGCATTTCATTAGAACTGGATGTTCTGTTTCAAAGAAAAAGTATGATATGGAGTATCTTGGCTTTTTAGGACTCTTTAAAAAAAAAAAAAAAAAAAGGGGGCGGGGGGGCAGCACAGGGCACAAACTGTGTTATATTAATGCACTTCCAGGCCATCTGATGTAAGCTGGGCATACTTAGAGGCCTAATAATGATAGCGAGGCACAGTTGTTTCCATACTAGCATTACTGAAACTCATTATCATAGTCATGTCTCTGAGATTTGTACTTGTTGCTTATAAGGAATGTTGCATGTGTGAAAATAGTGTAATCTGCCATTTCTCACCCACAGACACATTATTTTTACTAAATCTGCTTTGTTCGTAGATCGCTTCTTCCTTTCAAATATTACGCAAACATGATGTAATTATTTTTTGGGTAGTATTTGTCTGTAGTGAGTCATTTAGGCAAAGAAAAATTCATCACGAAAGTAGAACCATGGAGGTAAAATAACAGCTTTAGCCAGCGCGTGGTCTGAGTGCTATGACAGCTACCTTGATGGGGTTTTTAGAGAAAGCAAGCCATTGCAATTTCATCTTCACGAATGCATTTGTAGCTTAAAAGAAGCTTAGACTTTAAGCCTCAATAACAATTTACTTGGAAACAGCAACACACTGTGTGTGGTTCTGCATCAATCTGGTGTGGGTTATCTACAACCCTCCTCCCCTACATCTCCCTACCAGTAGTAATCCCATTAGATGATTACATCTGGTGTCCTCAACAGATGGATTTAGTCATAATTGAAAAAGTACTTCAAGTGGGTTTAATTAACTGTGTGGTCATTTTATTACCTGGGTCTCTTGTACCCTATAACTTTGCCTTAAGTGAAGTGAATTTGTGGCCTGTTAGGACATGCTAGTCTACAGTTGTACACATAACCGCCTGTAATTTAGGCAAACCTACAAGAATCAAGGGTTGAGCATTTTCATACTCGTGAATCTTTAATGCAGCTGTACTAAATGTCACTGTAATATCTGTAATATCTGATTACCAATCTGTGGCTGAGTCATTTGAGGAAAGTGGTCTGTAAGCTGCTAAGCTAGCTCTTCCTAGAGTTCTTTTGTTTAGCTCAGTAGAAGAGAAATGTGTCCTTCAGTGTGGTAAGCATTTGCTTCCAGTGTGGCTAATGGCCTGGATCTGAGTAACTGTTATTATCCTGGGAATGGGAAATCTTTATGCTTGGGCAAAATTGCACCAATTTGTTTCTCAGTAGCAGGCAGGCAGAACTGGCCTTTAGCAGAGAAATATTTTTATTTTCCTACACCTTTCTAATCTTTTGGTTAACAATATATATCTTTGGCTAGTGATACTTATCTATGTACAATTTATTTCTCTATTTTGATTAGAGGAGAGGGAAAGCTATTGAGAGAAAGAAGTTGACCTGGTTATCCATATGGATGGAGACTTCGTGAGAAGTTTTTGAGCTTTCTTTTCCCGTATAACTGTCTCTGGAATGGACGCGAGGAACTGAAAAAGCTGTAGCGTCATCAGTGAGAGTGGGTCTAGATTTGTGCAAATGAATGAACTCTGCAGACTCGCGCTTGTTGCGTGCGTTTGCAGACGGAGGTTCCTAAATAGAAACAGAGCTCGTGTGCTTTTCTTGAGGTGGGGATAGCAGGGGAAGAGGGCCGTTACATATGTAGATATGTTCTTGAAACCTGTTGTCCAGGCATTTCCTTCAGAGAAAGTGACATGTCAAGTGCAAGCTGCACAGATTCACAGTTGCTCTGGCAGAGAGGTGTGTTGGGATCTCCAGCCTCCACTGTACAAAATAAACAGAATGTTAGGGTCTAACCTGTATTGAACAATGAAGTCTGGTGCACTAGCAAGACAACAGCAATAAATTTATGGGCTATGTTGGCTAAACGTTTCTACAGTTTGGTGTTTGCTGTAACTTTTGTACACCTCGTGTTCTGGTAACGCGGGAGGCCCTGGGTGTTAGAACTGGGGGAACAGGTACTGTTTTGGAGTTGTGTATAGAGGGGAAAAGGCTGGTAACTGTGACATCTACTTAGCTAACTTTAACAACTAACTCTTAAGTAGGTTGCTATTTCATTACTGGCTAAAAGAAATACAACAAGCTGAAATGTAAGGATCCGAATGGAAAATACAGATCCTCAGAAGAGTTATACAGGGGAACCTTTCAGTTGAGAAAGTTTTGCTGCATCCACAAAATGGTCAGAAGGACCATGTGGAAAACTTTATACTGTCCTGTTTCTTCTAAAATGAGGTGGGTTCAAAAGAGAAACACAGAACTACCCTTCAGCAGCAGCGTATAACCTTACTTCCTAAGAAAGGAAGAGAACATTAAAATGTTGTGTTGGGACGAAGTTGTAAAGTGCGGTCTTAAAATATACACCAAGCTAATGCACACAAAATGTTAGGCTCAGTGTTTATCATTGTATTGCTCAAGTTTGCCCATTACCTTAATCACTGAAGCATGGAGAAAGCTACAACTGAAAAATGCTATTTGGTAACATTTTGCCGTCGCTGTATTACCTACATCAGGCTCATTTACTGTTGTTGCCTGAAGGGTCAATAAATGTGTGCTAGAAAAACTGTGAGTCTTTCTGTGATGGAAGGGGTCTTTTCTCACCTGAGAGTTGCAGCATCTGCTCAAGAAGGCAGGCATTCACAAGCTGGAACAATGGACAGTGAGGCAGAGAGGTTTCAGGAAAGTAACCCAGGGTTTTCATTTTCTGATGAAAGACCTGTGAGATATGTTCTGCATGATCCGTGCCATATCTGGCACTTGGCGGTCATTTCATTGATGCTTCCTAAGGTCTTTCTGCATGCCTCTGTTTAGTTTTGCCGAGAAGGGGAGGAAGACTGTGACAGCCAGCTGGAAAATGTAGAATATTTTGTCATCCCTCAGCACCTGCCAAAATATGGCAAAGCACAAGTAGGACACCCCTGCCCGCTGTCACTGGCAGCTATCAAACGGGCATTGCTTTCTAAGCTGGAATGTGGGGAGACCTGCAAAGTATGGAAAAGGAAGAAGAGTAGATTTAATTCCTTGTAGACTTCATGTGAGCGATTGTTGTCAGAACAAACTAGTCACTGCGACAAAGCAGCACAACAGACTCTTAACAGCTTCTCTTCAGACTGGCTGCTTCTGCACTTAGGGGTGGGTGGTACCCTACTGCCAGCCCCAGGGTCACCTGGACCTGTGCCCATCACAGCAAGTTTCATCTCCCCTCCGGCTACACCCCTGTGTTTCTTTTATCCTTTCCATGGGCACAGCTTGCAAACCTGACCAGGGAAGCACAACTATGTTTTCCATACCTAGGTGGAAATTATTCCAGGCACAGACTGTGGTGGGATGCTTTCGTCTCCTTCAGCTCCTTGTACGGACTCCGCTCTCAGATTATTTGTTCGGCAGTTCTTGCCTGCTATGTAGTTGTCGTGCCAGTCATTTTCCTTGCATGAGTAAGGTCTGAGGCCTTGGACACAGGACCTGGAGCCCAAGGCTGAACAAGTCTGTGTTTCAGCATGGTGAAGGTTAAGTGCTGTACATATGATTGAGGGGTGAGTGGAATTAGGGCCATGGGAGATGCCAGGCTTGGCCAGGGCTATGCTGTGACCGCTTTGAGCTGAGCTGATATTCCTTCATTCTTGAGCCCCGTGAATGTCCACATTTCACCTGAAGGATTGTGTTGCCAAATTGTCATCTTTCCTCTGAGGTCATGTCATTGGGCTGACTGACATATGTAAGGATTTCTATTCTTGGGAAGTCTTCCAGCATCAAAAAGCCATCCTGATGAAGTAGAGCTGCTTTTGAACAAGCCCCAAGTAAGACTCCACTTTGGTTTATGAGCTCTGGTGCATTGCACTGAGTTCAGGTTCTTGATGCTGTTCTGTACTGATTTCTGTTTTGCTTGTCACAAGCTTTCAAGTGCTTCTGAAGTACCAGCGTGTTAACCGACTGCTGAACTGACAATACAAGCTTTCATCTGCCCTGCTTTGTTAGCCTTGTACTTGATGATGGAAGAGGCAAAGAAACAGCTGAAGGTGGTAGAAAAACCCATTGAAGCCAGTAACTTAGCTAACATGTTTTGTAAGCAGTGTGTTTCTCAGAAGCAATAAGATTAAGTGGATCAGCTGGTGTGCTCTGTGGCTGGTGGAAAGAAGCTTATTTAAATTAAGAGGACCAGAGAATCTGTGCCTCAGTCCAGAGAGAAAATGGGTTCGACAGAAGACCTTGACCATCCTCAAATCATCTTGCAATACAACAGTGGATTTTTAGTCTCAAAGGTAAGAAATGTAACTCAGTCTTGGATAGATTTCTAAAAGTATGCAGACAGAAATATTCAAGGATCTCACTTTAGGTCCTGAAGGTAAGTCTTTGGAATGAAAACCATGTCATATGAAAGCATCCTGTCTGTTCATCTAGGCAGGAAGGAACTTTGAAAAGAAAAAGGATTTGAAAGCATCCTGACCCCTCAGGATAGACATTGCATTTATTGAGACCTCTCTGACCTTTGGGGGCTTGGATGATCAGACCTTGTTTCTACATGAGGCTTTATAAAAAACACATGAGTTTATTTCTGAAGGGCTTGCTGTCTGACTGCCTCAGACGTGGAAGGTTCCTTTGGTGGTGGGATTTCTTCCCACTTTTCATTTTAGGAGTTTGAGAAACAGACAGCTGACTTCAGTTGCCTTTTTCCCTCCCTGTTAAACCATGCAAAGAACAAGATTTTTCAAATAGCTTCTGAGAGGATTTCCTTCCCTCTCCCATGTTTTTTTTTGTATGTATTATGCAGAAGGGTGAGCTTGAAAACTTCTGTGTATTGCCTATTTTCAGGTGAAAGAGAGTCTGGTATAATGACTGTTTCTCCAAACAGCATTTATTAAGGTACAAACGTAAAGCTAGTAGTTCCACTTTCCTTAATCTTTACTGATGTCGTTTACCTTTTGGTGTGTGTAAGCACATGGGCATAAAATTATAATATCCAGTTCAGTGGAGATTTTTTCCTCATTTTCTATTTAGCTACCTTTCCTATTGTCCCTTGCTGCAGCTCTGGTCAACATAGTGACAGAAGGAATGCTCTTTGGGTTGTGCAAATACTGCTGCATCCTAAGGCTCCTGAAAGGCAGAGCTGACAGTAAAGAGAGGAAAGATGGATAATGAAAAATTCTTTTTGCTTGGTGAGAAAGAGGGGTGCCCAGTGCTTTCCAAATTGACACTGGTACTATGTTTCTGAGAAACAATCTCAACTTTGGTTAAACCATGTTCTTACTGAGAGTAAAAGGAGCTTCCTGTGGACTTTATCAAATTATTGTAGATACAGGCAGTCAACTGAGTTGATGGCTTTGTTACTGTTTTAGGAGTGTTTGTGTGGCCAGAGAAATAGGCTAATACTTGTAAACTTGACTGTGTACAGCTAAAGAAGGATGTTTTTCTTATGTATGGTTATGTATGTGTGTCTCAAGGTTGAGGGTTGTTCCTGGAGATGTTACACACCTTCCTTCTCTGTGAAAAGACAGGGAAATTCTGCTGGCCCTGAGGAACCTCCCTGCCTCAGGGAGACACCTGTAGTCAAGCACGTCAGTCCCTCTAAACAGGATACATAGAGTGGGCTATTCCCCCCTGCTGCAAGCCACAGGAGAGTCTCCAGGTTCTCTGTAGCACACATTAGATCCTTAGTTAAAGAATAAAAAAAAACAACAGGAAAACCCACCACCACCCACTCTTGCCTTTGTGCTTTCCAGGCAAAAAGCAAGAGAGACTGTAAGAATGTGCTCTGAAACTAAGGAAGAGGCAGGAACATTCACACCCAAAACCTGGTCTCTAAATGTAAACCTTTGTGAGCCAAACACATTGGCTGGCTTCATCAGAAAAGGAAAAGAAATGAAAAACGGTTCACTACAAGCACTGTATAGTATTATCAGTGTTCAGAGAAACTTCAGTTTAATCATTGAACTTGTTTTATATAAATATGATTTTACATTAAAAAAAATATTACTATATGTATATTTTCTCCAGCAAAGCAGCTTTAGAAATCAGTAGGCTTTGGTGTTTTCACCTGATCCCTCGCTCTCATCTTTCCTCACCCCCAGGTTATGTTCACTGCCTGTGAGTTGGGGGTGTTTGATCTTCTGTTGGAGTCAGGAGAGCCTCTGTCTTCAGATGCCATTGCTGCACGCTTGGGTACCAGCACCACGGGGATGGAAAGACTGTTGGATGCCTGCGTGGGATTGAAGCTCTTGGCAGTAGAGCTGACACAACAAGGAGGTAATAAAGGCAGAAGAAGGCTAAGAAAATAAAAGACTTAAACCTTCTGATGGTTTTGAAAGTGAGGTGAGGTGTGTGGGGAGAAGTGATACCTAGTTTTAGGCCAGTTCCTGTAGCTAGAAGGAGGAGAGAATCACTTGGGAACACTATCCCCTCTTCAGCTGAAAGAGAGGCAGCAAATGTCAGCATCATTGACGTGTAAAGTAAAACCAAGGTGAAGGGCTCTATATACCTAAACTACTTTGTGCAAGAGCCTCAGGTGACCTTGGAGAAGATATTCAGGGTCTCTGCAGAGCTGTTCTCAAGAAAACTCTGAGGTGTGGGCATGATTTTAAACCTTAAAGCAAAATGGATGGCCAATGGTATGATTTAAAAACATGTTTTGTTTTTCTTTGGGGTTTTACCACTACGTGAAGTATTTTGTTAGGTTGCTGATCTGAACTGTGAGAGGTGATATAAGTTTGCCTTTGCATCAGAGACATTGAGTCCACATGGTCAGAAGGGATCTGTGGCCATCAGACAGCTGGTCAGGACAAGCCAGAGTCTTGCAAGTTGTGTCCCCTGCTCTGGCTTGTGCTGCCTTGCCCTGTTTTAGGGCTTACAGTAGCTGCTCAGTGTGTTTAGGGAGAGCAGGATCTATCTTTTATATTCCATTTGTATGCCGGTCCTGTGGGTGAGGGATGCCACTGCAGATGCATTGGAGGAAGTGAGGGAGATTTCTTTAGGCATTCATTTGTCTATAGAAGGTCCTGCCCTAGTGAAGAGGTGTAGGTATGGTTGGCATGATATTTTGGGGACTTGTCTCGCACTTGCTGACCTTGTTGATTGGAAAAGAGATTTGTCTACAAGGGCTTCTCATTTAAATAGAGCATACCAAAAGCTGCTTCTGATAGCAGAAGCCTGTAGGTAGATAATGACACTCATAAGGCATTCCTCTTGCTGTTCTTGAACGAAATGTTTAGTGGTGGAGTAAGCATAGGAATATAGTGTTTACTTACATTGAATGGGGCAAAACACATTTCAGCAACCCTCACCTGCTGCTCATTGCAGTGGAAGGATTGATTGTGGAAGCAATGTGTTTGTGTCTTAGGTCATATAGACATCTTCTGATTATACATACCATTCTGTACAATAGGCTTGGCAAGGTGATATATCATACGTGTTAGTAAATATATTTATTTCACCCTTTAGCCCTCTACAGAAACACAGAAGTTTCCAACATCTACCTTACAAAATCAAGTCCCAAGTCTCAGTATCATATTATGATGTATTACTCTAATACAGTCTACTTGTGCTGGCACTACCTGGCTGATGCTGTGAGGTGAGGAGGAGTGGTGTGTGTTGTCTGTTGCAGACCGCTTTGTGGCATCTGTGTGGCTGCTCTGAGTGGTGTTTTTCTGGGCAGGGCACAATGAAGATGTTTGCTGGTTCTCAAAAAGAAAAAACAGCAAATCAATTTGGCTGTTAACACAGCCAATATGTATTCTTGTTTTTTCTTGTTCTCCATTTGTGTGTATTCTTGTTTTCCTTCTGATGGTAGAGATGATTTAGGAATTGGATTTCTGTGTATTTGACCTTCAGGAAAGCACTTGATCGTTACACTGGCTCTTACTTGAGGAGGTATCAACAAAGTAAGTTATGAGTAATGATGGCTAAGGATACTTCTGTTGCAAAGGTGTATAGGAGTAGTTTAATATGGGGCTGAAGTCTTACTTGTTGCACTCCATGCAACTGGTGATCAAACATGGTGTGTGAGATGATTGCACCAGTCTCACACCTTTACCTGAGATGTGTTCCCATAAATCATAGAATCACAGAATGGTTTGGGTTGGAAAGGACCTTAAAGATCATCTAGTTCCAACCCCCCTGCCATGGGCAAGGACACCCTCCACTAGACGAGGTTGCTCAAAGCCCCATCCAACCTGGGCTTGAAAAGAATCAGTCATTCTTGTGAAAGATTGAGAAATATATCAGCATATTTTGGGGTGGCAAGTGAGGATCCCCTTATAGCCATTACAAATAGGATGGTGTATATTCTATACAAAGTTGAGCACCTTCCACAGTGATGAACAAGCTGAAACTAAAGCCCCAAGGTGTGTTTGGGGTAAAAGAAAAAAAAAAATTTACGCTCATATGATTTTTTTGTTGTTGCTTTTTTAGAGAAGGAAGAAACCAATACGAAAGAGCTTTTGGCATTTCATCCACAGACCCTTTTAGAGCAATGTACAGGTAATCATTAGTATATTTATAGAAATTTTATTCTTCTTATTGCAGATAAAATTAGTTTTTAATCATGGCTCAGGACAGTTAAGTATGATGATGTGAGAATCCCACTCATCAGAACCATCATGCAGCGTTTTCCTTTCTCAACAGTATCCATTACTAGGACAGTGTCTGATATTTTGAATAGAAATATATAATTTTCTATTCTGAAAAACATATCACAGGTCTCTGGCACAGAGGCAATGGTAGCTGAAGGAAAAAAAATCCCTTGGAAACCTGAGAATTAGCAGTGTAATACACTGTTGGACTTCACTAGTCTTAATTCCCTATTTAAATGCATAAATGCATAGCTGTACCCTTTGCTACAGTAAGACTCAAGGTAGGTTTATATGCAAAGAGAATGTGTTCAGTGTCAATAAACAGAGATTAGTGTTTAAGCTAAAACTTGTAATAACAAGAATATTGTAGGTTACCTTTTCTACGTGCTATGTCTGTTTGCCTTACTAGATCAGAAGAAGAAATGCTGAAATTCATGGCTGGCCAGAACTCAGTGTGGAGTATATGTGGCAGAGATGTTCTTGCTGCGTTTGACCTTTCCTCTTTCACGCAGATTTATGACCTGGGAGGTAAGCGTTGGTAGATCTTCTTTAACAAGCCTCTGAACTGTCTCTTTTTACAAGCTCTGAAAAGAAAAACAACTCATGTATTATATGATGGGCAAAGTAAGGGAAAGCAGGACTTAGCAATAAAGGGAGCATTTACTGATTTGGTTGGGTTAAAAAGAAAAATGTGAGAGTAATGAGAGCATTAGGAAGCTGAATGCTTTTCTCTACAGAGTCTCATTGGTTTGAGTAGTGGCCTGTCCCCTTGTTTATGTGGCACGTTTGGCATTTTTTCTGGCCTTGCTTGAAACATTCTTCCAGAGCCAAACTTTTTCCCTCCTCCCTTTCAGTCAGTGTCGTTGAGATGTTGTCTGCAGCCTCTTACCCTGCAGCACCCGCTGTCCCAGCACTGCTGACCGCTGTCAGGACTCATGGGACCTGTCAGGTTCTCTTGCAGGCTCCATCACTGCTTCCCCAGCACCCGGTTTAGTGGCTCTTTTTTTCATTTCCCACCTTCCAGCATCCACAGCTACGTCTGGCTGAGGGAGTGCGTAAGAGCTGTAAGAGCTAGGGCTGACCCCAGAGTCCTGGGGGCCCTGGGGCTTCCTGCAGAGCAGAGACAGTGGTCTCTCTTGTCCCTCCTCTTCCCTTTCAGTAACACGTGGGGAGCAAATGTACCTTGCCAGCTGCCATGAGGCTGAATGCACCATTGCCTGCATTGCTTTGTGGGGGTGTTGCTGAACACGTTGGTTTTGTGTCAGTGCTGACCTTCTTTTGCTTTCCCCAAAGGAGGTGGAGGAGCTTTGGCCCGGGAGTGTGTTTCTTTGTACCCAAATTCCACGGTCACAATTTATGACCTGCCGAAAGTCGTGCAAGTGGCCAAAGAGCAATTTATTCCCCCTGAGGAGCGTCGGATCACTTTCTATGAAGGTAGGTGCAGATAGGTGTGTAGTGTTGTCACAGCTGTTGCTCCCGAGCCCCTTGGCTCTGCTCAGAGGTACCATACTGGAGGTTCAGGTCTCCAGCTGCCCCTTACATGGGCAGAGCGTCCCAGACTGCAGCCTCCCCAGCCCAGGTCTGCAATTCATTGCTACCACAGGGCTGTCCCAGTTGCGCACCTGCAGCTACCTTCTCTGAGACACGACTTGGTTATTCAGCAACCCAGAAACTCTTTACTCCTGAACACAACTATTTGATTACTTAGAACAAGGGTACCTAAAAAAAAAAAAAAAAAAAAAAAAAAAGTCTTGCAATTTTGAAGAATTGCCATGCTATGTTATAAATCTTACCAACACTCCCTTTTCTCCTGTGCAGACCTGGCAGATGTGCAGGTTGCCAGGCCTGCTCTGAGCAAGGGGTTGTCATTCTTTGGTCATGACTGTTTGACTATCAAGTCCTGAGATATTTCAGGCTTTGAATGTGGATGAGCTAGCCTATATTCCTCCTGCCTAGTCCACAGATCTTGCTTGCATGGTCTTTGGACCATCTGTGATGAAAATGAATGTAGGGAGATCTAATTTTTAATGTTTTCAAAAGCCCTCCAAGTGTTGGAAGGACTTGATATGGCTTGAAGCTCTGAGAGAGGAAAGAAGCCTTTGAGGAAGGAAGGGAGTGCATACAAAGATGGAGAAACACAGAAAATATTACATGTGCCAGTGATGTGAAGAAATGGGAATGGAAATGGCAAAGTAAGTTACAGAAAGAAAAATATGAATTTTCACCAGGTGCTGAACAAAAGGCATGATGATGAAGCTAGTGGTAGGAGGTGAGAGATGTAGAATTTTTTCCTTACAGATTTATGATGTAGCTCTATGGTTACTGAAGGTTTTTGAAAATTTGCTTAGATAAGAAAATTCTTTCTTCCTTTTTTTCCAGGACAGTTTGTTACGGAAAACATGACAAGCTGTCTCTTCTTTTTAATACTTTATGAAACTGAATTCCTGCCATTGAAGAAAACTCAGACTCAAACGCTTTCCTGTGCATCAGTGGCCATTTTAGATGAGCTACTGCTTTTAAACATTTCAGACCTTCTTGAGACTTAATAAGAACAACACCCCCTGTGCAGTGCCACAGAGGACTTTTACCTGGTAACTGTTGCTGTCTGATGTGGTGATGGACATGGCAAGCCCAAAGTCTGTGGAACTGAACAGAACTGAAAATACTTGCTTAACTCAGCCCTATGCGTTTTGAGGGGTTTGAGTAATACATGTATTCTTGCTTTACAGGAGACTTCTTTAACGATTCAATTCCAGAAGCTGAACTGTATATTTTATCCAAGATACTGCATGATTGGGATGATGACAAATGCAGGCAGCTGCTGGCAAAAGTCCACAAGGCTTGCAAACCTGGTAGGTATGAGCTCTTGAAGAGCAGGGAGACTCTCACCTATCGGTAATGTGAAGCATACCAGTTTCAATGCGCAATTTGGGTGGCAGAGTTTCAGTGCAGGGCTTAGTGTTTTGCTTTCCATGTGCAGCTGAGTGAAATAGGGCCTGGTCTTAAGTTATCATTATCTGGCTTCCAGTTTTAGTCTTCTCCTTTACAGGGCCTCCTCTTTCAAGGCATTTAGGTGTAAGGATTTGGGGTATTGTTTAGACAGACAGGTATTTATGTCATTATAAAAATCCCATGAAGCATCACATTGAACCCTCACAGCTTTGAAAGCACTGCCTACAGAGCTGGGTTCTCAGCAAAATCAGAAAGCGCCTGTGGATTTCAGCTGGGGCAAATGGGAATTTCCATCCCAGCCATAGCGTCCCCTTCAGCCCTGGTACGTCAGTACCTACGTAGCCAAGCAGAGACACAGTCTGATGCTTTGGCTCTTTCATTGCCTTCT